AAACACCTTATCCCCAGTCCCAGCCAGAGCCCTCATCCCCCCACATCCTGACCCTCTTCCCTAGCCCTGAGCCCCTCCCACACCCCAAACCTCCCATTCCCACCCCCAGCCAGAGCCCTCACCCCTACTCTCGCCCTGAGCCCCTCCCACACTCCAAACCCCTCATCTACAGCCACAACCCACAGCCCTCACCCCTGCACCCCTTCCCTCTGCACCCCTCCTATCCCCAAACTCCCTCCCAGAACTGCACCCCAATCCCCTGCCCCAGCCTAGGGCCTGCACACCAGACCTCCTCCCTCACCCAAACTCCCTCCCAGAGCCTTGGGCGGGTGGGCAGAGTTTGGGTGGGGGCGGGTTCTGGGCACCACCAAAATTTCTACAAACCTGCCACCCCTGATCCTGCCCTGCAAACCTGAACTCCCAGCATTCTCAGGACACATGCTGATCCCTACTGGCCACTGCTGATATCCAGCACCTCTCTCCTCTCTTAACCTGTGAGTCCCTCTCTGGATTGGAACTGGACTGGAACGAAAGATCATCTTGGAAGCAACATTACCAGCCCAAGCAGTCAAAAATTATGAGTTAGACCTCCTAAAATCACAGGCTCTACCGCTGCCGCTTCATTCATTCTTCGGCAGCAGGCCCTTCCCTCCGAGAGGGACTGAGGGACCCGCTGCCGAATTGCCACTGAAGAGCCGGCCCTAGGGGAGGGCGCAATTTTATATTCTTGCCTCGGGTGCAAAAATACCTAGTTACGGCTCTGAGCAGGAGGAAGTTTCTCTGCTCTCAGTTTCAAGCCTCTTTCAGCCAGCACTCTGCCCAAAAGCTCTCTCGCTCTCATATTTTCTCAGGGCCACACTTGAGTGCTTGTTCTGTCTCCTTGGCTTTCAGCTGCTTCTCTACCAGGTTCTCTGGTGTTTCTGCTGCTTCTCTCCCACCTTCTCCCACCCCCACAGTTGCAATCAAATCAGTCCTCCAGCCCTATGGGGACTATGGTTTTTGTCAGACTCCTAGGAAGCCTCTTGGACTGCATGGTCCAACCACCATCCAGGCCTGCATGTGTTCTAGTCCTTGGCCGGTGGTGTTCTTTTGCTTCAGCTGTCAATATGCAATGGAGCATTTAATCATTCCCTCTTTCAGTCTGAATGGAAGGCAGTTCTCACACTCACCCTTGACCCCAGAGCCCAGGCTCAGGCTCCAATTCATCCCCGGG